TATATATTATAAACATATTTCAATGCCAGTAGATAATATATACCGTAAATTTAACATAATTATGATTCATATGCAGTAAGAAATAATACAGAGAAGTCTTATGCACACTTTAGCTTGCTTTTCCTGATGGTAACATCTTGTAAAACTATGTAGTACAATATCATAATATTGACACTGACGTATTCCAGAGAAGAGGACTCCCAACTAGGTGGATTGACACAGTGACTGCTGCAATGGACTCTTGTGTATCAGGAAGTGTGAGGATGGTGCAGGATTGAGCATGGTTCAGATCTTTTGTTCATAGGATTGCTGTGAGTCATACTCAACTTGAGAGATATAACATCAGCAACAACAAAGAACATTTACGTCTCCACATGGATGCTTTATAATACACTTGGTTCCTCCTAATTTCCTTCTTAAGTGCTAATCTGTTCTCGGGCTTATAATGCTATTGTTTTAGGAATATTACATTTATACCGCCATATAGTATATAACATTTTCCATTTGTTTTTTGCGTGGGTTTTTTTTTTAACCCTACTTAGTTATTGGTGATTCTCCAGTAGGTTGCTTGTGTAATGGTAACTTGTTCCTTCTTATTGTGAGCAGTAGTCACAGTATCCTCGTTTAACATTTTACAGTTGCAGGGTATTTGGGTTGTTCCCATATCTGGATTGTTTTGACTATTTGACATTGTATATGAATCAGAGTGTGTGTGTGTGTATACATAAGCATTTGTTTCTTTAGGATGAAAGATCCAGAGAGTAACTGTCGGATTGCATTTTTTAAAAAATCTGTCCCCCAGTTATGGAAACTTCATTATCATCACATCCTTGTATTATTTGGTGGTGTCACCAAATGAAGTCTGTTTCTTTTCCAAATGTTTGAAGATTTTTCTCCTTTTGTTTTTTCTCCCCATGTGTTTTTATCTCTCAAGATACAGTCTATCTTGGTAAATGTTCGTTGGCCACTTAAAAAAAATGTTTTCTGTTGCTGTTGGGAGGAATGGTCTCTAATTGAATTTTGTTGGTTGGTGGTGGTGTTCTCTGTCTTTGGTGATGTTTAGTGGTGTTGAGTTCTGTGTCTGTGTGATGGTTTCTATTTATTATTGAGAGAGATATGGAGTCTTGAAGTCCTCAGCTCTACTTGTGAATTCATCAACTTCTATTTGTGTTATTAGGGTTGTTTTGCTTTTATTAATTTTTTCTTTTAAGTACCTATTTTTGGTTCTCAAAGTTTTCAGCTTAGTTGTTTGGGTTATATACATATATAAGTATTCTGAGCCTTTTTGGTGGGTTGATCCAGTTTTCACTTTGTGATGACTCTCTCTGGTAATTTTCTTTTTTTGTAGTCTACTTTATCTGATACTAATAGAGCCACTTGTGCTTTAATGAACTATCCTGCTATGTTATTGTATTTGAAGTGGTATTTTATAAACAGCATATGAAGAAGTCATATTTTTAAATCCACTCAGCCAGTTGCAGCCTTTTAATTGGCATATTTAGACTATTTAGATTTGTCAGGGCTTTAGTCAACTGTTTTGGTTTTGTATCTTATTTGTTTTTTTTTTATCTAAGTTTTCTTTTTCCTACCTCCTGATGGTTGGCTTGAATATTTTCTGTAATTCCAGTTTGATGTATCCTGAGTGTTGAAGATGGTTAATATGCTTGGCTGCTGCTGATCAAGAAGTGATCAGTTAGAGTCTCCCGACAGGTGCCTGGGAAGAAAGTCCAGGTGATCTACTCCTGAAAAGCCAGTCATTGGAAACCCTGTGCACCTCAGTTTTCCTGTGGCTATACTTGAGGTGTCAGGAGTTGTTGGGATTGACTTGCTGGCAACTGAGTGTTTTTGTTTGTTTGTTTTGTTTTGAGTGAATCTCTTCTTGTAGTTGTTTTTTGTTGTTGTTATTGCTTAAGGTAGTACATGATACATAAGTCATCACTGTTGCCGTTTTGTCAGTTTGGAACCTTATCTGCTCCTTAACCCTTCCCCCATTTAGTTACCTGCAGTGTGATTTAGAGCCATGTAAGACAGTGTTGCAGGTTTTGCTTCAACTCTAATAAATTTGAAAACTTGAGAAGAAAAGTTCATTTTATTTACGCATACTATCTTTATCATGCCTGTCTCTTAATTCTTCATCTGTGAATGTCCCGATTTTCTTATCATTTCTGAAGAGTACTTTTGTTATTGAATATAGAATTCTGAATTGGCATTTTTTTTTCCCCTTTCAAGACCTAAGAAATATTGCAACACTTCATGTTTACCCCATAGAGATTTTTTTTGGGTGTGCATGTATATATTTTAGTGAAAGTTTACAAATAATACTGGTTTTTCATTCTATCACTCATAGACATTTTATTTTCTAGCATTAACTTAAATTGATCAATGAATTGCTGTGCTATGCTAATGGCATGTGGTTTGAATCCTCCAGTTGTTCTGCTGGAGAAAGATGAGCATTCTCTTCCTGTGCTGTTTACAGCCTCTAAAAACCCTCTGGAGGGTCAGCTGTGGATCACTATTGACTCAACAAAGGCACACACCAGTTCCTTACTGGATATTACTTTTCCCTTCACCCAGTTTACCTATTTATTTAT